TAGTGTAGTGATTTTTAAAAATTTTTCTGCAGCAAATTGGATCAAAATTTTAAGAAAAATTTTGCTGTTCAAAATCTGGATTGAGCTGATAAAATGTAAGTTGTCCTAAAAAATGGAACTTTGAATAGGTTGTCCAGAAAAAGGAATTTTTCACTTTACAAGGTATAGGTTTTGAAAGCAAAAATTTAAGTTTCAAACGATTAATTTAGTCATGGTTTTCTTTCACAACATTTACCAAAAAAGTTGGCACACAAAATTTTTTCTTGAGTGTTCTAAGAAACGAAAGTAGCTGGAGGAGATTGAATATGATTTACCAATGTAATCCGGGTCTGAAAAAGCCAGTTGTCCACTTCTGCTCTAAGTTTTTTCTCCTCGCGTGAAAATCGGCAATTCCGCATTAAAGAAAAATGAAGAAAAAAACTGATTGGAATGGATTTTCTTGGTTCAAATATTGTCAGTAACATTGATTCCCGTGTTACGCTTAGACAACAAAATTGGACTAAATAATAAGTACAAAAAGAAGAAAATCACAAGAAAATGGATGGTTTTTCCCACTTTAGTTTTGTTTCGCTTCATGCAAAATTTTGCAAGAATTTCTGCTTTTATCAAATGAATAATTCAGAAAATTTGCAAAGCGAATAAACGGCCTACTCTTTACTCTTTTCTAAAGTTAAGTTTTTTTTCAAATTGCTTAACGGTTCCGTTAACTTTTTCCCCAGCCTAACGTTTGCCCTTTTGCCCCCTTACAACTCCCTATCCCAACTTTCCCTCCTTAAGAACCCACATTGCTGAACCAACCCCCCGCTTGACCACCTGAACCAACCCCTCACCCTGAAGAACAACCCCCACCAACATATATGGACACATGGTAATCATACACTTTTCATGCAAATCCGTAGGTACAAAAAATGCATGAAAGGCCTAGGACCTTGAATTTCTATATATTTAAACTGTATGACTTGCATTTTTGCATAAACCAAAATATATATGTATATAATTTTTCTAAATTTTAAAATCTCAGTTTTTTGGGATGTGTTTGTGACCGAACACAAGTGCCAAAAAACATGATTCACTCAAAACTAAAGTCACCATAGAATTTATCTCTTGCATTCACAATGCATTGGAAACGATTTTCATTGTTTCACAAATCATGTACTGAAAAAATCAAACTTGAAGGTGTTGGCAAACTTTTGAATGATTATTTTAAAATTTGAATTTTTAAATTATCAGACTTTGATCAACGCATACATAAAATTTCCATACGAAACAAATAAGAGCTTTTAGCGTTGGGGTTTTAAAGATTGCTGTTTGGCCATTTTGGGACAATTAACACGCAAATTTTTGCGCTACTAACGCGTAAGCGGAGATTTAATCCGTCTTAGAAATTGTTTCAAATTTTTCAAGTATGCGTATTTGCCATAAATGATTTCTTACTAGAAGCAAAATCTATCACTTTCCCTTTCATATGGATTGTGGGGCGATGTTTTTAACACAAAAACTCAAATTTAAAAAGTTGAAGTTTGAGGAATTTTGCGAATTTATTTGTTTTTTGGTTTGATGTGAGGTTGGGTGTAAACATGCAACTCTTTAATGCTGCATTCTGCAGCCGTTTTTGTGTTTCTCGAAAACAACTTGGATTCTGCTCACAAAATGAGGATTCAGTTTCTGCAAAGCTGACTCCATTTAAAAAATGAGGATTTTGCATAGAAAACGCGGCTTATGCGATATGGCGCACTTCAACAAAAATGTGGATTTTTTGCAAATTGCACTGGGTTCTGCAATTGTTTTTTTTTTAGAATAAACAAAAATTGTTGCTAAAGCAAGCGTTTGGAGAGATACACTTTTTTATTTTATTGTCTCTGAGTTCCGGGTTTTTAGCTAATCTTTTCACCTTTTTATAACTATTTGAAATTAAAAGAAGGCTTAAACTTTCATACTAATAAAATCTTTAGTATTATGACAGAATAAAAATAACTCTTGCCCTTAAAGTTTTGGCTTTAAAAAACTCGTTGAAGTCAGCGGATGAAGTGCTTGATCTTTTTCGATCCTTCTGCCACATTAATAGAAATTTAAAAAAAACTTTGTTTGCAAAGAATTCAAGGAATGCTTCAGAAAACATTAGCTTAACAACTTCGTGTTCTGTGAATGAAACTTATCAATTTTTTTGTAGCTTTAAGATGGTAATTATGAAAAAATAATTCAATTTATTCACTAAATCAGTGTAGTTATTGATAAAATCCCAAACTAATGTCAAGAAAGTCAGTGCTAAAAAGTTTTTAAAATCCAATCTTAACCAGATGAAATGATTTTTTCAAATGAGCTTGTTTGGGTTCATTAAGAACAATTCTTCCTGACTTGACAAACCAAAAACTGCAATGAAATTTGATGTTTTTTTTCAAGTTTCATAAATAGTAGTTTGGTTCTCTGAAGTCCAAGTAGACCTTAAAGTTGATAGTGTAGTGATTTTAAAAAGTTTTTCTGCAAATTGGATTAAAATTTCAAGAAAAATTTTGCTGCTCAAAATCTGTATTGAGCTTAAAAAATATTAGTTGTCCGGAAAAAAAGAGATTTTGTATGGGTTGTCCAAAAAAACATTTTTTTACTTTAGAAGGTATAAGTTTTGAAAACAGAAAACTTAGTTTCAAACGATTAATTTAGTCATGGCTTTCTTTCACAGCTTCTACCAAAAAATTTTGCCCACAGATTTTTTTTGAGTGTTGTAAGAAATGAAAGTAAACTGAGGAGATTGTATATGATTTACCAATGTAATCCGGGTCTGAAAAAACCAGCTGTCTTCTTCTGCTCTAAGTTTTGTTTTTTCGCGCAAAAATTGGAGACCCGCTTTTGAGAAAAGTGAAGAAAAAAAATGATTAAACTGGATTTTCGTTGAATATGGAAGCTAAATATATTTGTCAGGGTTTAATTAGTCCGTATGCCAAATTTGATAACAATCCGACAATGTTAACAGAAAAATTACTCTAAAAAATTTGCAGGTGGGGAGGAAAAGGAAAAAGAGCCGCCCTTTTGCCCCCTTACAACGACCTATCCCAACGTTTGCCTCCTTTGAACCCCCGATAGCTGAACCAAACCCCCGTTTGACCACCTGAACCAATCCCCCCACCCTGAACAACAATTTCCCCGCCCCCACCTGAATCACCCCTCCTCACAACCTGACCACCTGAACCACCTCACCTTCAACCTGAAGAACCCCCTCTTCCCACCTGAACCATGGGAAGGGGGTAGTCCTGGCGGTGAGTGGGGGGAGGGGGTTGGTGGTTCAGGAGGGGAAACAAAAATGAGAAATAGAGTAACAGAAAAACAGTAACAAAACTCAAAATTGCGCAGAAAAAAGATGAACTTGAACAATAATTAACTACCAACTTCTGTTTAAAACACTGTTTAGAAAATATTTTGAGTGCGTTGAAAATCCCACCTCAAGAAAATGGAAAAATAACGATCATAGTGTAATTTCCTTTTCTTGATCTCTGAAAGTAAAACACAATCGATGATAATTGACTTGCAATGGATTTTAATGCATAACCAAATTATAGCAAATTATTCCATTTTTGATTGATTATAATCGATTAATTTTCTATAATAGACACTGTCAATGAAACTCATATTTAGTCAAGTTATGTTCATGGAACTTCAGTGCAGGAAAAAAAGAAACAGCCGAGTTTTTAGTTAAGTTTGATTGTTTCATTTTTTTCGCTGAGAATGTTGCGCGCGGCATGAGCCACTAATTAACTCAGTTTTTTGAAGAAAAAGTTCCCGGGTTGACCAACACTGCTAATCATTAAACTTTCATATTTGGAAAAATGGTAACCAAACACTTTTCATGCAATTCCATAGGTAGAGAAAATGCATGAAAAGTCTATGACCTTAATTTCTGGTATCTGGAAACTGTATGACTTGCATTTTCGCATAAAGTAGAAAAAATATGATTTTTCTAAAATTCAGTTTCTTAAATTTTTTGGGATGTGTTCGTGACCGAACACAAGTGACAAAAACCATCGTTTAATCAAAACTAGAGTCACCAAAAGTTTCGCCGTCTTGCATTTACAATGCATTGAAAACTACCTTCATTGTATAAGTTTTTGCAAACACAAATTACGTACTGAAAAAATCAAACTCGAAGATGTTGGCAAAAATTTTAAAAAAAGGATTTTTTTCAAAAATTGAATTTTAAATTATCAGCATTGACCAAGGCATGCATAAAATGCCATACACAAGAAATAAGAGCTTTTAGCCTTTTAAAAAAAAATTTTTTTCATAGAAACGGAAAAAAGTCAATGACTACGTTATGCACACAAAAAATTAAATTTTGCACCCGAAAACTTTTTCTGAAAAATGTTTGTTCGAATACATATTTCGATGCGGTTAAAAAAAAACAAAAAAAATTTGGGGCAATTTCAAAATTTTTTTGGGGGCGTTTTGAACTAAAGTTTGTTGTCGTCATCAAAAAAAGGCTAGTCATGCAATTTCCATATATGGAAATTGCATGAGTAGCATTTTTTTGACAAAAATTTTTCTTTTTTATTTAATACGATACACCGACTTTTATGCCAAAACAAGAAAAAACGCCTTTGAAAATTCGATGACACCATTTTAGCAAAAAGCATGGAAATTGTATGACAAGTATTTTTTATAGACTTAGTTTAGAAATTGTCTGATTAGCATTTATGGAGGTCAATCCGAGTTCACTACGATGCAAAACTTAGTGCAGATGAAAAAAATTGGAGTTTTCAAACCCAGATTAAGTTTGTAAGCCATTGAAACCAAATATTGATAGTTTCATAGAGGGTACCTCGGATCAGTTGCTCTTGGTCTATGTAAAAGTTTTACTGAATTTCATAGGAAATGTTGTCCAAAATGGACATTTAAAACAGGCATTTCAGAGAATAAAATCTTAAATGTGAGCTTAATTTTGTCCATTAGTGTATTTTAGAGAGTGGTCAAATGCTGAAAAACCGTGTCAGCGCTTAGAACAATCAAAGAAACTGCTGTAGAATGTAACTTGAAAACTGACGAGTTATTTTTTTAAATTATGATGTGAGCTCAGTTTGAAACGATGATTGTTCAATTGCATTCGTCATGTATCAGAATTTACCAACAGCTAATTTGGACAGAACGGAGCGTGACTTTCTGAATGCAGTGAGAAATGGGTGCGACGAGCTGGTTAAGCGATACTATCACCAAGGTTAACTTTTCACTATTGTTTTTTTGCAATTATTTTACAAATGTTCGCCAATATTTCAGAATTTTTTCAAAATTAATTTTCACATTATTTCAGAATTATTTAAAAATTAACTTTCAGAATTATTTCAGATTCATTTCACAAAAAACTTTCACAAATATTTCAAAGTGTTGATAAAGTCGTCTCGAACCATCAAAATCAATCAAAAATGGAACGCTTACCTCTTTTTAATTTTGCTCGTTTGGAAAACTAAAAAAAATTAACTGAAATAATAAAAAGTCCTGATGTTATAAGTTAGCCGATTTTTTTTGCGCGTTTTATAAACCGAGATCTCGAAAATTTTTATAATTGGTAGATAGGTTGAAAAAAGTGAAATGGTATTACATAGTTTCGCAATCTTGACTTTTTAGGAGTGAACATAAGGTGCCGAACGACTGATTCAGAAACTCTCGATTCGTACGAGGCGAAAGCGGGACTGACAGCAGTGCACTTGGCCGCTTGGTATGGCCACGACTTCCTTGTCAACTTCCTCGTGGACCGAGGCTGTCCCGTAGACTCCGAGGACTTCTCGGGTTTCCGACCGATTCACTTCGCGTGTGCTCAGGAAAGATTGTTGATTATGTCTCAAATGACTTGAACATCGATGAAATGATGATAATTTAAACTAATAAAAAAATTAAAGTTCTCTCAATATAGATAAATTCTGAAATCAAACTGAAAGTCAAGTCGTACGAAAAAAGTTGATGCAAATACGTTGGTACAGGTCTAATGGAAAATAAGCAAGAACCGCTTTCCCCAAGCCTATTAACAAAAAATAAAGGCCCATAATATTACGATTTTTGTCACATGAGGGGGAGGGGGGAGGCTGCAAAACGCTGGTGGGACTATGATGGGAGAAAGCTGAAATGTTTTTTTTTATTCATGCCAATTGGGATGAATGTGATTTGAGACCTAATGCATAGGGTAGACATTCGGCCTTCGAGGCTCTTGTGAAGAAGGGGGCCAATTGTGTGGGGGCGGCCAAAGATGGCTGGACATGTTTGCACTACGCGGCTCAGAGGGGGAATGAAGACATCGCCAGAACATTAATTTCCAAGGTCAGTTCTAATCAAAGTTTTATTTTTTTTACTGCGCAACGTGTTTTAGAGAATAAGTAAGCTGAAATTGAGTTCAATTGTTTCTAAGCTTGAGCAAACATTTTTTTGGCTCTTAAACCGTCTTGTAACACCCTCTCCGATATTTGATTTCTACCACAAAAAAATTACCGTTACACCGCGTAAAAAAATAATTCGGTCTGGCGAAGCCTCAATCGTGCTCAAACGAAATGCAAAAATTTTCTCAGTATCGAGAAAAACAGGTTTTGAATTTTTGGTTTTTAGTCTAATTTCAAACGTCTATTAGAACGTACATGTGAGTTAAAAAATCACAATCAAAATAATTTTCCGCTAAACATAACTTTCATTCGTTTTAACTCATCTTCGACAAAAACTGTGCCTAAGTTACTAAAACTATCAAATATGCCACAGTCCCAAAACTCTAGGCTTTCGATTATCACAACACGGACAAAAACTGACACAATTTAAATACAGACTGATGCAAGCCTTATTGTGTGCGTATTTTGCCTTCAGAAGTTGATAGAATCTTTTTTTTTCTTACAAGGGCGGCCATCCTGACTGGCCTGAGATGCGGGGCTGGACCCCGGTGCATCTGTGTTGTCAGAATGGACACGCCCCCATTCTCAAATTGCTGCTACACGGAGGGGCTGTAGTCAATGTCCAGGTAATTAATCCAGTTCCTCTAAGTTTTTGTAGGTCTTTTGATAATCTCGATTCCAGTGGAAACTCGTTTGGCATTAACAACTTTTTTCGGCTCTTTAACACCCCCTCCCCACATTTGAATTTCAATTTTGAAAGACTAATTTTAAGTCTTACGTTGTCATAATACAATGAATTTTTGCATGTTGAACAAACTACATATTGTGAACACCTTGTTTTTCATACCTGACTTCGTAACATCACGCATGCAGCCATAAAAACAGGCAAGACAACCAAATAACCGAATATTTGAAATACGGGGCGAGCGGGAGAGCCCTTTTTGCAGGAAATTTATCTGGAGTCTGTTTTCTTTTTAAATGACTGATTTCATGCTTTCTTTTTAATTTAAGCGCTGAAAAAAACCGAAAAGAAACTAAAACTAATAGAATTCTAATTGTTGTATTTTCTTTTAGATTTTTCATCGTTTAGAATTTTGAAGTGGTTTCAGGACCATGGCGGAGTTTCGCCTCTGTATCTGGCTGCTCAGAATGGATTCCCCCACATAGTGCAGATCCTACTCCAACACAGGGCTGAGTAAGAGATTAAACGTTTAAACTTATAGTTGATGTCAAATTGTTAGCAATATTTTTTTCGATCAACGATTCTGAACGTAGTTAATTAGGCTAAAACTGCTCATTTCGACGTCGAATTTCAGCCTTTGCTGATTTTTCTAAGTTCTATTTTGAGAAAAAGATAGACAATGATGAAGAAGAAAAAGTAGGTGATGTAGTATTCTTTGGAGAAGTAGACCCGGCATTTGCTTTGCAGCAAACCTTCTAACTTCTTTTGTGGAAAACCCAGATGAAAAGCATTGGGAAGCCGGGAAAAAATTTACTAAGATATCTGTTAGGAACAAAAAGTTTATCTTTAGTATATAGGAGGGATAAGACGTTGAACCTTGTTAGCTACTCGAATGCGGACTGGACTGGAAATATAGACAATAGGAGAAGTACCTCAGGATATTGTTTTAAGCTCAGTGACAATTCAGATGTAATGAGGTGGTCTAGCAGACTCCTGGGTTGTGTATCAACTTCAACAGCCGAAGTAGAACACAATGCGGTGGTCGAAACAGTAAAGGAAGGAATTCGCTTACAGTGAACACTTAGCAACTTAGACATTTTTATTTAAGAGGACTTTGGAAGTTTTCGTTGATAACCAGGCTTGTATTGCCCTTAGTAAACATTCAAGGATCCACGGAAGGACGAAGCCTTTTGCCATAAAACAACACTTCCTTCGAGAGGTAGTTGAACAGAAGAAGGTGACATTGACCTTTTTACCAACAGCAAACGTGCCTGCAGACGCTTTGACGAAGAGCTTAGGAAACTGCAAAAAAGCATTTTTCCGAGACCTTCTAATAGAAACCAAATAGTTTGAAAGGCGGGGTATTGGTGATTTTTCGTAATGAGCTGGGATTGATTTTTTTTATTTGGTTCAAACTGAATGATCACTTACCGATTTTTGTTAAATTTAGCTGATGAAACATGACTTTTAGTAATTGGTTCGAGCAACTTTGTGCGGGTGTGGGGATATATTTGATCTGAGTTACTACTGGAACTATCACTCAAATCTCATTAATTCACTCCTCATTTTTCAACCGTTTGTCGCTGCAATAACCTTGATGGGTAGCAGTTTTATGCCATATTGAAGACTGAATGCAAGCAATAATCAAAAATAAGCTGCTGTGGATAAAGAAAAAAAATTTTGAGGAAAACCAGTGGCATATTTGGTACGAGTTTGAGCAGGCTCTAGATAAAAATTGGTTTTATTTAAAAACCTACAAAGGCAATGGTAGCAAAGCTTGGGATGTTTTACGGAAGAAAATTAGGAGTTTTGAAATACCCAGACTGCAAAAACTAATCTCCGAACTTACAACCTTGAAAAGGAATAGTAAGGAAACAGTGATAGATTACTTGAAATAGACGACTGATCCGATAAAGAACTGCGAGAATAGAAGCGGGCCAAGCTACTTGGAGATAGACGAGT